CGGATATGAAATATGGCTGTTAGAAAATATTCTAAAACATCATTTTTTATTTATGCCTTTTTGTGAGTTGGACTAGTCAAGATATATAGTTCTCTATCTGTATCCTGGAGGGAGATTTCCGGTTGAAATCTGATTTTGTGAAGGAAATCGAATCCTTGCATCACTTCTTGTGTACTCCCCGACCGAGAATATCATCGTGAAGAGCTGGCTGCCGTTTCGTGAAGCATTCCCTGTTGGTGAATAGCAGGTCTTCGTAAAGAAGGATTAACGCTTCCGAAACACATTTGGTCAGAGACGTGGTTGTATTTTGTGGGATTTACATGGACCACCTACCAGTTTCCATAATGGGATTAAAATAGCCTTTTTCCGACTGATATTCCGATTCCACGTGCCCAAGAAGTCCCCGAACAGTTCCAAGGTATGCTATAATTCTTCAGCCTATTCTAAGTCAATGCTCAACTGATTTTTGTTTATATTGTTATCTGGTTTTCGACTTTTCTACGCCCACGTGGTGTAGAAAGATTAGTTGAGTGTTATCTTTCTTAAGTCTTATTTGGTTGTTCGTAATTGTAGAGCAAGAAGACCGATCCAGACCGTACAGCACAGAACAGTCCAGAATTCCATCCGTTCCTGTTGCCCGTGTGTAGAGTTACCCGTTGGACATCATAAACCCTCGTTGAGGTAAAGTTCAGATTTGATTAGTCCTTCTTTATTACCTTTATTAACTCCTACACGTTGTGCTAGACAACCATTGTTATTTAGGGTTTTTATGTTCATCGTTTGAAACACCTGCCATGCATCTGTATCTCTGCTGACATCCGTGGGCTCCAGTGACATCACATCGAGCTGCTGTACACCGTCGTAGCCACCCATAGGAACTTTCAAGTAATTTCAAGACTGTAGAGTAAGATCGTTTAGATATTAGTATAATTTTAGACTTGATTTATGGGTATAAACCACCCTGATTGTATTTAGTATTAAGTTAGATAAGGGGATTTGACGTCATAGGTTTAGTTATTGCATTTAATTTAAAATTCCATTTTCTTTTCCAACCTTTAGATTGAAATAATTTCTTAACATATTACATTTTACATTTCATTCTTTTTTTATATATATTTAACTTTTTAATATTTTAATAAATTGCTTAAATATTTTTAGTAGTATTATTTACAGTCTAGTCTCATAGTTAAGTTAGAGTCACTTAAGTTTAACGAGTTATAGCATATTTGAAGTTCGTGGTAGTTGCACTCAACAGTTCGAGGTTAGTGTTGAAGTCTACTTAATAGTTACATCTTTATTGCCGAGTTCGTAGAGTATAATCTCGTGGCGCCCTTTTATATATATCTTTGAACCCCGACCACCCGGCTGTTAAAATTAAAAAGCTAGTGGCGTCTATATAACTCATCCTAATTAAGTAAACTTGTGTTCTATTGAACTTCAAATTAGAAAGGGCGTGGCAATTTTAACTTCTATAGGGTGGCTCAAAAAAGTGTGAGTGGACCGGGATGATTTATTTAAAGGAACACTCTGTATTTTTGGCTTCCTTTCTGATTACTTTACATAATCCTAAGATAAGATGTAAATATATTTGGATAGTTTCAGAGATATTAATAAATAAATAAAAAATATATTTTTTTCAATAAGTTACAAAGTAAGTTGATAAATATTGTATTTTCAAAATAACTACAAATAAAATTAAGGTACAGCTGTTATCATATTTTTATGCAATTGCCTCAAAAGTCTTAAAAAATCGATTTCTAAGAAAAAAATAGTTTTATAAAAAGTTGATTACTTTCTTACTTTTGGGACACCCTGTACAATAAAAATTTTCTCATTTTTGATGCTTCTAGGCTCATACGTTTTTGGAAACTAGTTAAGGTGTGCCTTTAACCTGAATCTGCGAAAATATGATTTTGCATAAGTGCGTTAATATTGTAACACCCTGTATAAACCATTTCCTATGGGTTAATAATTGTTAATTTTTTCATATTTTCTATTGATTTTGTGATTTTAACACTAATTCATAATAAATAATACTAAATAATATCTGTGAGCAAAATAATTTTTCCATAAAGTAGGGTCCTCTCTGTGCGCCGCTGAAAAACTGTAGACTTTTGCGCTGCGAATTTATGTGTTTTATGGAAGCCCATATATATATATATATATATATATATATATATATATATATATATATATATATATATATATATATATATATATATATATATATATATATATATATATATAAATTAAAATATATAAATATAATATATAAATTTTATAATAAATTTTAAATTTTTAAAAATCTTTTTTTTTTATAGAAAATTTATATTTTTCTTTGCCCTTCACAATCTTTGTCCCTTCACTTTAGAACACGTACAGAGAACTTAATGTCATACTAATTTATCACTAACTCAAACAAAATAATAATAATTAATTAATTGTTGTTCCAGAAATATATAGAAATTGCCATCAGTTTTCATCACAGAAGAGCAATAACCTTCGGTCCCATAGACAAATCAAAATTATTATTTTTTGACAGACTAAGACATTACGTTGCCTCTAAATGTTTTAAAGTAAATAGACAAAGATTACAGGGCAAAGAAAAATATGAATTTTCTATAAAAAAAAAAGATTTTTAAAAATTTAAAAAAAAATCTTTTTGCTGAGATGGTAGTTTTCCTAAACCTGTTATACATTTCAGCCCTATCACTGCAATAGAAGAAGCTCTAAGATGGGACTGAAAATTTGGCACGTAAAATCTTATGACCCGCTATAAAAAAACGCCACTGCACCTATACTCTATTATTATACATATACGAGTAGTAAAAAAGCTCCACTACTTCACTAAGTAGGTACTTAACTTTTTTATTTTTCACTTGTTTTATTAAAGATAACCCTTGTTTATAATTCTTGTATCACTAATTGAAATACACTTTCATTTTCCAATACACAGGTTTTTCAGTTTATTTTAACATACTCAACACTTCTTACTTTTATTTTTGGTTGTTTTATTTAACACGTACCTATCGTCGGAAACCAACAAAATAAAATGAAATATTCATGAAATATAACACACACCCTATTAGATTCACGGCTTATACAATCGAATAAATCACATAATATTCTCTCACCTACATACTTGACTTAAAACTCAAAAAGTACTCACCAATATCTTAAACCTAATAGATTTTAATTAATTTTCAACACTTTTAACACTTCGAAGCGTATTTTAACATTATGGATCATTTTATTTACGACCTCTACCTCAATTCGGCTTTCGACCTTGCCTACGTCCTTGCCCTATTCCATATTTCTAACGCCGGCTAAACTATCGACGTGTTGACAGGCAGGTTATCGAACCCATGTCGGCTCTAGCATGTCGTTTTTTCAAAGATGGGTCCCATATAAACGCGGCCAGAAGTATTTTCAATACTAAAAACTAAAATATTACTCTAAATAAGAAAAAGTTATAACAAGTGTTCAAAAAGACCATCTTCTTGTGCTAGACAGAAGCCTAGGCGGTCGTAAAATCCCCGTCTGACATTGGCTAACATATTAGGGCTAATAGTTTGGAAAGCCTCTCGTATTTTTACTTGAAGCTCATCCAGGTTATTAGCCCTATTATGACCATACACTTTGGATTTTACATAACCCCACAAAAATAAGTCATTGGGAGAATGATCTGGTGATCTAGCGGGCCACAAAATAGTTCCATATCCACTAATTAAACGGTTGGGAAAAGTATTGTTCAAAATATCCTTGAACAATACGGGCACTGTGCAGGGCATCCACCTCAGCAATTTGATTACTTGAGAACGTGGGAATTTGATCCGCGGTAGCACAAACGAACCCTTGCTTTAACTCCTGTTCTTCATTAATCAACACATCAGGCTTTTTGTGCTTTTTTGGGGACACGCACCCATTGTGTTTCAAAATTATTAATAACTCTTGATATAGTAGATAAAGGTGGAATTGGCCTGTTTACGAAAGTTGAGGAAAAATTATTTGTATATCCCGATAAGACCTATTTTGGAAATACCATTTTACAGTTACTTAAATAAATTTTACACGAGAACTGTCGCGAGAATCTACGTATTCGTTTTGGCTATTAAAACACGAATAAATACAAATTCTGAAACATTCTTATCACATATCGACCTATTTTTCTATTTTTATTTTATCGCATTTTTTGGCCTGCTTTTTATCCGGCGGACGGGTATACGCTAATTCGTCCGGTTCTGCCTATGTTACTACTACGGTGGTCCGGTCTGTATATGGGTTATCACTGGAATATTTTTCTAAAAAAGAAAAATGAGTTACTGATTTCTTCTTTTGTTAGCAAAATTGTATAGTCTCTAGGCCCTTTAATGCGGATTAAAAGTTGTATCTTGATACTTTGTCGATTTCAATTTCGATCTCAGTCATCTTAATTTTTATTAGGACATCTTCATTTTTATTATTATTATACTACATCAAATTGTTATTGATGCAACTATTTTTAATTGAAAATGTGAATTTTGGTTAACTAACTTTAGCTTCATTCAGAACCTCCCAATTAGTGAAATAAATTAGTGGTTTCAATTACACTTTATACTTACGATCATTCACAATATTTAAAAAACACAATTAAAATTAATAAAATTTCCTAGCAACAGCTCGCGGTCTGTTGTATCCATAGAGAAAGCATAATATTTAGCTCATAAAACAATAAACTTTTGATTTCTAACCAAAATTTTTCTTGACGGGTGATAATCAAAAGCGAAAATGACATTTCTCGCAAATTTTGAAGTATAGTTAGTGGAAAAGTTAAAAGTTTGTTAACTTTTTCCACTAATTACTACCACTAATTATGACGTTCTGAATGCTTACATTAAAATTAGGTGAACAAACTTCTATTAAATAAAAAAATAAGAATATGAGAATTGGCGCTTTGTATAACGATTTAGTTGGCACCTCAGTATACCGTACATGTTTAAGGTATTAAATCAAATTAATTCTTTAACAAAATTATATCAGATTTTTTTTTAATAATAAATTAATAATAAACAGTTGGCAGTAAAAATACATGTAATAGAAAAATAAACAATAAAAAACTAAAAATTATCTTCCAGGCACCAATCCAACTTGTGATGCTACCCCAGCATAGCCAGCAATAACAGGTAAATTTTCTTGTGCCCTATCTCTAACTCTGCGAACTCCGTTTTCCTAGAAAAACAAAAATATCGACTAAAGCTTGATTTTCATGCTTCCGTTGTCCGACGATACGTTGATACGATATTAATTTTATTGGTAGAATTTAAAGACTTTGATTGGTTAGAAAATAACGCAGTTTTTAAATTTATTGCATTTCCATGCCTCTGTTTATCGGATATACGTTGGTGCTATTTTATATTTTCGTTTCCATAACGATTTTGCTATTTTACTTATATTTTTATTATTGTTAGATTAAATTTGTCAAAAAAGTGTCAAAACGTCCGTTATCGTACGAACGGGTCCGTTGACGGGCTGAAGTAAAATATTTACGGATGAAAAGTGGCGCGAAAAGGCTATGACCAATCAGAGCACCGTCGGACCAACGTACCAACGAATAACGGATGCATGAAAATCAAGCTTAAGAAGTGTGAATTAAATAGTTATTCACGAGATTGAAAATTATTGAATTACTAATATCGCTGTTAAAAAATAGGGGTTGATGGTAGAAGGGTGAAAATTTAGGGTTGTATGTATTTTTAATGCTACATCATAAAAAGGTAAAAATAAAAAAAATTGTTCAAAAAAATTAAAAAAATTGGGGTGGAACACCCTTATCACTTAGGGGTATAAAAATAGATAACCACCTCAAACCTACTGAATATACAACATATAAAATTTTATCAAAATCGGTTAAGCTGTTTTGGAGGAGTATGGTAACTAAAACTGTGACACGAGAATTTTATGCATATACCGGGTGCGTCTTAAAAGTAGTTCACCCCTATAAGTTTATTATTTTATCAGATAAAACAACGAGATTTGGTATGTTAGTATATGACATAAATTAGGATTGATTGACATATTCGATTATTGTTTTATGTCACTTCCGGTTTCACCGGAAATGAATACAACTTTTGATTTTTAAATATCACCCTCGGTATTTTTTTACTTTATTCGATAGAAAATGACAGTCTGAATAGAATGACATATCATATGTCAACTTATTTTGACATTTTCACATATGGTTTGTTTGAAATTGTAACATGCGGATCATAGCGACAATTTGACTCGAAATACAAAGTGTGTGGTACCTATCAAATTATTCGTAAAAAATGCTATTTCCAAATATGCTAATGAGCCACCTTCGTTCCATTTGAAAAAATGGGGATATGATTAAAAATACGATTTGGGCATCTTTTAACCGGCCAGGATAAGACACTAAAAACATTAGACGATCAGACCTATTTTTCCAAGGCTCCTTGATTAAAAATTAGTCTTTTTAATATAGTCATGGCACTCTAGATTGAGAATTAAAATACAATTTATTTTTAAGCGAATATGTCAAAAGTTGACATGATATATTATTCGATTCAAAGTGTCATTTTCTATTGAATTAAGTAAAAAAATACCGAGGGTGCCATTTAAAAATCAAAAGTTGTAGCCATTTCCGGTGAAACAGGAAGTGACCGAAAACAATTGAATACGTCAATCAATCCTAATTTATGTCATATACTAACATACCAAATCTCGTTTCTTTATCTGAAAAAATAAAAAAGTTATAGGGGTGAGCCACTTTTGAGACGCACCCGGTTTATTAAATCTGGTATTTATCGCTAAGTACCTACGTTTATTAGTATCCAACAAAAAAGTATGAAACGAATTACCCTAATTTAAAATTTGAGAAAAATAATACTTACTGCACTTTTTAGTCGTTTCTTCAACCAACCAGGCCTAGCTGCAGTAGAGTGAAACATGACTGCCACAACTAACAGGACATACAAAAATATTGCAGTAAATTTCATTGTTTATTTTAACAGTGTAAAATATGGGAACAAGTATACGAAACAAATGTTAAAATATCGCAGACAGCCTGAACCTTATATATCAATAGATGATGACTTTTTCCGCGTTGTTTGTATGTAAACTAAAAACTACCGACCCGGGGATGTCCCTAAAGTTCTTAAAAAGTCATGATTAATAGACGAACCTTATTGCAGTGTTATTCTGTTTCTTATTTCTTGAGTTAATGTATTATAAGCATATCTATTACCATAGGTGCTTCAGGATATCTGACGTTTTACTTCATAAAACTATTCTTAATTAAGTCTATGCCCCATTCTCTTTCTACATACAATAAATATTTTAATTAATTCCCCCCCATGTTATATTTTTATATTTCTAAATTCATTTTCGTTACACATTTATATGAATTTGTTTAATAACAATTTGATACTGGATGTGTACATTCAAATGTAAATGTTTTAATTTGCATGATAGTATAATTCAGAAAATTCACCAAAACATAACGCTATAAGTAAGTATTTTGGGGTCATTTGAACAACAAAATATTTCGATAAATGTTTATATGTATTTGTGTATGATGAATCTATTGTATGTGTACTATTATTAAAACAATATAATATTTATATTTTGTTTGTTTGGCATGATTCTCGTTTCTATAAGTTCAAACACAGCTTTCTTTTTACAAGTTTTATCTATAATAATGTTTATTTATACAGGCTGTACTAAAAGTTTCGTTGTTTTGAAAGAATCCGCCTATTTTTACAAAATAGCGAGTAAACAGCAGTTTGCAAATTACTTGGCTCGTTTGCAAACTATACAGGACACTATGCTAGTGTAAGGAAGTCCAATATCGTCATTGTTATCAAAGATATGGAAAAAACTTTATACAGATGTTGCATGGTCTCTGAACCGTGCATGGGTGTTGTTTTTGGTGTTGCACGGTTCAAAAACCGATATACCTAATGTTTTCAACGTCATTTTCAAACGTAACTTACTGTAATGGCTGTCCTCCTTTCACGCAGTTGAGCAGCTCTGAACTGTTCAAGAACGCGATACTCTCAGTCCATTCAATTGAGTCATAAAGCTCCAGAACTGTTCCGCGCCATATGGAGGCACCAGGCTATCGCGCACCGCTCCTTTCAGAACCGTTCTCGAGTAGCCCCAGGGCGTAAAGCCCGGAACTCGAAGTTCGCGAATGGAGGACAGCAACTATATACATATTATTACATCATGTTTGTAGGCACATATAATTAAAAAATTCACAGATTTTGCAACATGCGCAACCATCATAGGCGTATTGAAAATACCAGATACAAGTCGGCGGTTGTCTTTAATATGATATTCGGTCTTTAACATGGTATTCATCGTCGGTTTTACCCATAGACTTAAAATAAAATATAGACTGAGCATCTCATTCATAAATAGCTGGAACATGCGGTCAGACACTGTCTTGTTATTGTTGTGTTATTGTTTTAGGTTATAACGAGTGCGACACGAGCGATAGATAGGTTGTCTCTGTCGTAACGGTCGTTCCCTGACGACTCTGCCGAGAAACACAACACTGTCTTTCGTTTTTCAAGTACACCTGAACTCTCCGTATCATAGCCGGGTAATTTTTTTATTTTAATGAAGCTATAATTAAATTAAAAATATATCGTATTTAAACTTTTTTATATTTTATTAAGATTTTTTAAATAAAAGTTTAGAAAAAACAATTTAGAGTCCAAAAAGGATAAAAATAATAAAATACACGTTATAGAAGAAATTTTATCATCGAAATTAGGTAATTTTTGAAATTAATAATAAATTATTAATTTTAGTCAAACATTTACAACCCCTAATATTAATCAAAACAGGATCTATTCCACAGATATAATAGAATCGGCAACAGGGAGAGAAAAAAAATATGATTGTTGTAATTTTTTTTCTGGTTAAGTGATGTCTTATTATGTAAATTAGAGCAAACATAAATCTGTTCCATTAAAGCAAGGAAGGTGATAGGAAGTGGATAAAATAAAAACTACATTTATAACTCGGTACTGTCTTTATTATACCGGGTGCGTCTCAAAAGTGGCTCATCCCCATAATTTTTTTATATTTTCAAATAAAAAAAACAAGATTTAGTATGTTAGTATATGAAATAAATTAGGATTGATTGACGCATTCAATTGTTTTTGGTCACTTCCTGTTTCACCGGAAATGACTATAACTTTTAATTTTTAAACGGCACCCTCGGTAATTTCTACTTTATTCGATAGAAAATGACACTCTGAATGGAATGACATATCATATGTCAACTTTTGACATTTTCGCATATGGTTTAATTGTAATTGTAACACGCGGTTCATAACGACAATTTGACTCGAAATACCAAGTGTGTGGTATCAATATATTCATAAAAAATGCTTTTTCCAAATATGCTAATGAGTCACCCTTGTTCCATTTGAAAAAAATTGACATATGTATGATTAAAAATACGATTTGTACATCTTTTAATCGGCCTAGACAAGACACGAAACCTATTAGACGATCAAAACTATTTTCCAAGGCTCCTTGTTTAAAACTTAGTGGATTGAAAAAACTGGATTGAAATTTAAAATAGGATATGTTTTTAAGCGACAATGTCAAAGTTGACATATGATATGTCATTCTATTCAGAGTGTCATTTTTTATCGAATAAAGTAGCAATATACCGAGGGTGCCTTTAAAATCAAAAGATGTAATCATTTCGGTGAAACAGGAAGAGACCAAAAACAATTGAATACGTCTATAAATCCTAATTTATGTCATATACCTACTAACATACAAATCTGTTTTTATCTGAAAAAATAAAAAAAAGTTATAGGGTTGAGCCACTTTTGAGACGACCCGGTATATTAAAAATATTGTTTCATAATGTAATATCATTTTAAAATTCTTGTATGTTATTTTAGATTCTGAAGATAATTTTAGAATAAACCGGAATATATTTTTAATAAAAACATTATTAATTATTAACAGGGTTATAATTATGATTTTGTTACAATGTAAGTAAGTAAATAATGTAACGTAAAAGAAAAAATTCAGATTTTACATTTTACTAAAATATTATCTAAATAAGCGCCTTTCTACAACAACGCCACTGACTCCTAATGGGTAAATTGAGAGTTGCCTACCGGTCGAAAGTCGTTTCAAGGCTTAAATGGATTATTTAAGTCAAATTTCTTGCAAATTTGGCACTGGCGAACCATATTTTATAGTTCTTGAACAGAAAAAGTCAATAAAATAAACAGTTAAGAACTACAAGCTAAGAAAATGCATTAATACAGCCGGGGACATAGCGGCAACAAAGCTTTACTGCACACGTGCGACGCGTACTACAAGGTAATAAATGAATGAATAGGCTCCCTCGCCTCTAATCGGTGTTGTCATATTGTAAAGAACTTATCCTTATTAAACAGTATCCGACTTATAATTTAGTAGTATAAGGACTATTTAATACATCTATGGAATATTAAAACCTACTTTATTAAACTGTAGTATTAATATCTCAATATATGTGTATAACAAGAAAAAAAATATTGATAATATTAAAGACGTGACAACATAGGCTGGATGAGGAAGGCTCGGTCGACTGAGGTCGACTGTACCCAGAAGTAAACATGTGTACAAAAAAGGTTGTTTGTCCGCGTTGAGATGTAAATAGTGTAGTCTATATTATATTTTAAGTCTATGGTTTTACCTTTTTGGCTGTTTTCCCCTTTATCTCTTACACGACGTTTTTTGCATAATACGTTTTTTAACGTTTTTAGAACAAAATGTTAAATAAAAAAGTTATTGAAGCACATTTTAACATTACTATAGAGTATACAGGGTAATTCAAAAAAGTGTTGCGAATATAACATATTTTCTAATGGGAATACCCTATTTTTTATTTTATTATTGGGTTATACATACGTACAATTCGGTAACTTTTCTTGCCATTTTTTGATATTATATATCTAAAATTAATAGATGTTGTAATAATTCAATTTGTTTAAAGAAATGTTAGATTTCGGTAGGGTAAAAATTATCAGTGACATAAAATTTGTAAATTCTATCAGAAAAAATGATAATACATACGGTGTACGATTTAAAAATTTGAGATTACTTAGTTTTAAATGGTCGAAATTTATAAATCAGAGCTAATATCTCGCAGTCGGGCGGGCCTACCAAAAACACGTCCAGACTTTCGAGCTTTCTTTGATCTCGGCCATTGGAAAACCGACAGGGGACGGATAGCAACGAGGCTCCGTGGGTTGACTCGCGACACTCTCGCAAGACTCGTCCACACAGCGAATTTGGAATGTCTCGCGCTCGTCTCCCCAGGTTTGGACGCACCATCGTATCGCTGATCTCCATTCGCAAATATATTCCAGATACGTATAGTGAACAAGTGAACCGTTCGCAACGTTAAATAATTTTGATATTTAATTTTTATCGTGATGGCTTTTTATAAAAGGGTATACATAGAATTAATTGCATTAATTTGCAATAGCACTTCGAACCCACAGTTTTGTTATGGAGCCAGATTAAACCAATCAGAATGAGTATTATGTTACCGTAAAAGCCCGCGTTTAAACGTAGAGTTGCCCATGTAGGAGCCCGAAATATACCAAAAAGTGGGTCAGTTTCGGTTAAGTTTAGATTAGGTCTATATTTTTATTAATTCAAAACCAACTAAAACCTAATTCTAATCTAACCTAAACTCACTCCTTCTTTTGCATATTTCCGGCTATTACCCGCGTATTCCAAGGTTTAATTTAAACCTTGGAATTATTAACTTACGGTGTAAATTTATGGAGGGCCCCTAAATTTAAATTCGCCGTACAACAAAATTTCACCAATTCTCTCAATAAAAATTAAAAGTTATAAATCATACTATTTTTATAGAAATGATGGAATAAGGATGAACGGGGTGCCGGTAGACCAAGAAGATACTTGGAATGTAAGTGTTAATTTATACTCGAATTGAGTTGCCTCACAGTATAGGCATATTTTGAACCCTTACCGTGCATAGTTACTGTAGATAA